TAAATAAATAACAATAAATAATAAAATATGATAAGAAAGACTTAAAAAAAAATCAATAATAAATAATTAAAAAAAAACTTCTAACATTTTCCCCTTCTTAACAGTTGAGCTCCTGCGAGACTTCATAAAGCTCTTGAAGGCCTAATACTTCTGCCTCTTTGAGTAAGATTTTAAAATCATCATCATACATCTTAAATAAGACAAATGGAGAAATTTTCTGAGCTTCAAATATGTTTTGTGATCCCCTAGCAAAATATATTTGATAAGTACGATATGCAGACTTCCAAACTTCTCTATATTTATGAGTGGAGAAGTGTTTCATTACTTCTGTTCTTGCACTTTTTGTCCAGCTCTTTTCATTCAATAAAGTTCCCAACTGATAAAACCTTTGTAATTTCAGATTAGGTATTCTTTCTTGTTTGATTATGGAGCAAATTCTAGCAACTTTTGATTCCCAAGTGTCTCCATAAATTTCTGGAAAGGAGTGGATAATTGAAGAATTTCTTTGGAGGTCTTCCAGATATAATTGTAATTTTTCTCCTATTCTTTGAGCTCTGGTAATTATGAAAGTAAGTTGATTATTTTTCTTTTTGTTTTCCTCAATAATTACTTTTTCACTTGTAGTTATAACAAGTCTTTTATCTTCTTCTTGACTAAGCTTTTGTTGAAGAACATCAGCAATTTCTTCAATTGACATGTTCTCAAGAATGATCTTTTCAACATTCATTATAAGTAAATATAATAAAAAGATAAAGAGAGAAGGAAAATTAACAATAATAGAAGGTGAAATTATTGAGAAGTAGATGTTAATTCCAAATAAATAATAATTTAAGGAAGAGAAAAAAAATTGAAAATTAAAAGTTCTATAAATATTAATTCTTATTATGAACACCAATTTGTACATACAGAACTTCAGTGACCAAATTGAGAATAATCATTGTTTTAGGTATCACAGAGGGTGAAGATTTCATAAAGATTAGAATGTTGTTTGTACAGATTTTCAAAATTAATTAAAAAGAGGAGTTTGTGTAAGGATAGGCGAAATAAAAAGGTATTTAGAATGAAAATTAAAAATAAAAAAAAATAAGAGAAGAAAAAGAAACTATACTGAATAAATAATATGTTTTTAGGGTTAAACTATTTTTATTAATTCACTTGGTTGTTCATGATAAAATTTTAGGCGATTGCCATGAGCACTTCTTTTTAGAACCTTGCCTTCTAATGTTCTTAATTTATAAGTACCATTTCCCATTGTGTTATGGATGTAATATGGTCCCAACCATTTTTCTTCTAATTTACCAGACAAAGATTTATCTAACTGAGAATGGAATAGTAAAACTTTATCTCCAATCTCATAACTTTCTATTTTGAACTTTTTATCATGTCTCTCCTTTTGATAAATTTGAGATTTTGTTACCCTTGCTACTGTTTGTATTCTTTGCTCAGCAAGATTTCCAATTATTGATTCAATTCTTCTGAATACACTAGCTTTATGTTGTGATTCATTTAATATCTCAAAAGGGTAGGTAACAATATTTAATTCTATTGGAAGTACTGATTCTCTTCCATAAACTAAAAAGAAGGGTTCATGATGTGTTGTACTATGTTTAGTCGTTCTATATGCAAAAAGTGCTGGGGTAATAAAGGAGTCCCAGTCTTTGGAAGATTGGGAGACACATTTGGCTAAAACTTCACAAAGAGTACGATTATATCTTTCAACTAGACCATTAGCTTGAGGGTGATAAGCAGAAGTCATTATGTGTTTAGTTCCTAGTTGTTGACATATGGTTTTTAATAAGTGATTATTGAAGTGAGTTCCTTGGTCAGTGATCAATTCTTGAGGGCAACTATGTCTATGCACTATATCTTCAATAAAGAAATCAGCTACATTTGCAGCTGTGGCTTTTTCAATTGCTCTAGCTTCAGGCCATTTAGTTAAGTAATCAGTGGCTACAATTATATATCTATTTCCTTTTGAAGTTATAGGAAGTGGTCCTACAATATCCATGCCTATACGTTGAAATGGTTTGCCAATTTTTATAGGATGTAGTGGTTCGCGAGTTTTTGGTTTTCCCCTTCTTTGGCAAATGATACAATTTTTAATATAATCTTTTATATCATTTCCCATTTGTGGCCAATAGTATCTTATTGCTATCCGATGATAAGTGGATTGAAATCCAAAATGTCCAGAAGTAGGATCATTATGAAGGCTATATAACACAGCAGTAACTTCTTGAGGTGTCAGGACTCTTAGAGGATTGTTAGGTTGTCTTTTATTAACCTTATACAAAAGTCCTTCTTGAGTTATAAAATGTCGAGTTTTGTGTTTAAGGTCTTTTAGCTGTTTTGGGGAGGTTTCGGTCATCCTTAGGGCTCCATCAAGAAATTTAGTGTAAAGGTTGTACGTTATTAGATCCATTTTGTCTATCAATAAGGAAATACAAAGATTGTTTTACCAATTAGGCTAAAGATGATTTTGGGAGATATGTCAAAAAAATTAAATAAATAAATAAAAGAACAATTATGAAAATAATTAAAAATAATTTAAGTAAAAAAAAAAGTGATAAAAAAAAATAACTAAAGAAATTAATAATCTAATTATTAATTTTGAATAAAATTAATTCGCGAAACGGTGATACGAAAATTTGAGCGGATCTGCGAATTTTATTTAATAACTAAAAATGCACAAAAAAAAAAGGAAAAGAAAAGATAACAAAAAAAATGTATAACAAATAATTATTTTAAGACCTCTTTTAGGTAAAATAGAAAGTGTATAAGGGTATTATGAAGAAAATAATCAAGTTTTTATAATAAAAGGAGGAAGGAAATAAAAAAAAGTTTTTATTCTTCGTTCAATTTTAATAATTATGATCTACGAAATAATTTGTAAAAAAAAAAAGTGTTTCGGCGATTTTGCTAAAATTTCTTCTGAATATAATACTATTACAATTTTTTGTAACTAACTTTTGTGAGAAAGTTTTTAATTTGTTGTAATATGTGATTTCTAATAAAAATTGGTTTTTTTTTTTTTTTTGATGTTGTATTTTGCAAGTTTTATTTGTTAGAAGAATTATTTTCTGTAGTTAATTTGTAATAAATAAATTTCTTGATTCTTTTTAAGTTGTTAAATAATTGTTGATATGTTTTGATGTTTTTAAATGGTTTTTAAAATAAGAAGTTTTAATAATTTGAAATTACTTGATAATAAAGTGGTAGAGTTATTAATTTGTTTTTAATATGAGGGTGTTTGGATTCTGGAGAGTGAGTCTACATTTGTATGTCTTTTGCCAGCTTTGTGTAATACAGTAAAGGTGTATTCTTGTAAAATAAGAATCCATCTTGCTAGTCTTGTCTGAGGAAGTTTGTGATGGAAGAGTGATCTTAAAGCAGAGTGGTCTGTAATTAACAAAAAATGTACTCCATGTAAATACTGTCTATAATGTTGAACTGCCCACACCACAGCTAAACATTCTTTTTCAGTGGTAGAATAATTTTTCTCAGCTGTAGTTAGGCTTTTGCTAGCATAAGCAATTACTTTTTCATGTCCCTTATCATCTTTTTGAGACAAGATTGCACCTAGGGCAATATCAGATGCATCAGTGAAAAGTATGAATTCTTTAGTGTTATCAGGATAAGCTAAGATAGGAGCAGTGATAAGTTTTTCTTTAAGTGATTCAAAAGCATTTTGTTGAACAGATGTCC